GAACATGACAAGGATAAGATGCAAACAAATCATCCAGATGAAGGCAATCATCAGCATAATGGTATCCAAAGAAATTCACAGCCAAGTGGCTAATTATGGAATACGGAAAGCAAATGAAAACAAAATCAATTCATCACTGTCACAGGTGGGATTATAACAGTGAGAAATGGACCATGATTGATTAAGTCAGTTCCAACTCATAGCAACCCTGTGCGCAACAGAAAGAAACACTGCCTGGTCCTGCAACATCCTCCCAATTGTTGTCATGTTTGAGCCCATTGTTGCTATAACTGTGTCAATTAACATTGTTTGAGGTCTTTTCTTTTTGACTGCCTCTCTACTTTGCCAAGCATGATGTCCTTTCCCTACTGATAACATGTCCAAAATATGTGAGCATTAAGTATCACCATTCTCGCTTCCAAGGAGCATTCTGGTTGTATTTCTTTTAAAACAGATTTGTTTGTTCTTTTGGCAGTCCGTGGTACTTTCAATATTCTTCACCAACACCATAATTCTGATGCATCGATTCTTCTAAGGTCTTCCTTAATCACTGTCCAGCTTTCACATGCATGGGGTGATTGAAAATACCATGACTTGGGTCAGGTGCACTTTAGTTCTCAAACTGACTCCTTTGCTCTTTAACACTTTTAAGAGGTTTTGTGCAGCAGATTTGCCTAATGCTTAATGTGGTTTGATTTATTGACTGCTACTTCCATTAGTTTTGATTATCAATTCAAGTACACTGAAATATTTCACAACTTCAGTCTTTTCTGTTTATCATAATATTTATTGGTCCAGTTGTAAGGATTTTTGTTATTTTAGCATTGTAGTGCAATCAAAGACTAATCTTTGATCTTCATCAGTAAGTACTTCAAGTCCTCTTTGCTCCCTGCAGTATGGCTATGTCATCTGCACATTGCAGGTTGTTGATGTAGCTTCCTTCAATCCTGAAGCCACGTTCTTCTTCATAAAATCTAGCTTCCTGGATTATTTGCTCAGCGTACAGATTGAATAAGTATGGTGAAATGATACAATCCTTTTCTGATTTTAAACTATTCCGTATCCCCTTATTCTGTTCTAATGACTGCTTCTTAGTCTATGTACAGATTCTTTACAAGCACAATGAACCAACTGTTATGGAATTCCTATTATTCTCAATGTTATCCATAGTTTTGTTATGATCCATACAGTCTAATACAGTCATAATCAATAAAACACAAGTAAACATCTTTCTGATATTCTCTACTTTCAGTAAAGATCCATCTGACATCAGCAATGACATCCCTCATTCCAGGTCCTCTTCTGAATTTGGCTTGAATTTCTGGCAGACTCATGTCAACATAATGCTGAAATAGCTTTTTAATTATCTTCAACAAAATTTTCCTTGCATATGTATTAATGATATTGTTCAATGATTTCTGCATTCCATTGGGTCACATTTTTTTTTGGTATGGCTACAAATATGAATCTCTTCCAATTGATTAGCTAGGTATTTCTTGGCACTGAATGACTGAATGCCTCCAGTGCTGCATCAGTTTGTTGGAATATTTTTATGTTTATTCCTGGAGCCTTGTTTTTTTGCCAATGCCTTCAGTACAGCTTGGACTTCTATGAACACTACTGAAAATTAGAAAAAGTTGCAGGATTTGTTCTGGGGCCCTCAGACCTCCTTGGTTAGGGTATGACTCATGACAGTAGGGCCTTGGGACCCCAATTTCCATTAAAGGCACCCCCACCCAAGTCCCTGAGGGAGAGACTGTCCTTCTGTGAGGCGGCTATGGAAATAGTAATCTACTTTTAAACATACTCTGCCTGAGGGCAAATCTTTCCTCATTGCCATCAATGGTTAGAGAGAACTTTATGGAGGCTGAATTTGTCAATTCTGATCATAGACTTAGGGCTCCCACTGTGAATCCTAGCCTTCTGCAAACCATGTTTTACAAATATGAATTTAATTCTCTTAACACCCTATTGTTAAGTGCTGTGGCGTGAACTCCAACGCAAGCCTGTATATGTATGTTTGAACCGCCAACCTTCAGGTTTAAACCAACCTTGTCCTAGTGCTTGTCCTACAGTGCCACACCAGAGATCCTAACACCCTGTTGTTAAGTGCTGTCAAGTCAATTCCAACTCATAGAGACCCTGTATAGTGTTTCCAAGGACCGGCTAGTGAGTTTGAAGTGCCAACCTTGTGGTTCAAACAGACTTTGCAGTCCAGTACTAATAACCTACAGTGCCACATCATCCTAACACCCTATAAGTTGTTGTTGTTGTTAAGTGCCATGGAGTCGATTCCGACCCATAACGACCCTGTATAGGGTTTCCAAGGAGCAGCTGGTATGCTTGAACCACCAACGTTGCAGTTCAAACGACTTTGCAGTGTGATGCATTAGCCCACAGCACCACACCAGGACTCCAACACCCTATTGTTGTTGTTGTTATGTGCCGTGGAATCGGTTCCGACTCATAGCAACCCTGCACAGGGTTTCCGAGGCTGTAAATCTTTACGAGAGCAGAAAGCCTCATCTTTCTCCCGCGGAACAGCTGGTAGTTTCGAACTACTGACCCTGAGGTTAGCAGCCCGATTCGTAACCACTACGCTACCAGAGCTCCTTCCAACACCCTATGTTGTTGTTGTTGTTGTTGTTGTTGTTGTTATGTGCTGTGGAGTCGGTTCCGACTCATAGCAGCCCTGTACAGGGTTTCCGAGGCTGTAAATCTATACGGGAGTAGAAAGCCTCATCTTTCTCCAGCGGAACAGCTGGTAGTTTTGAACTGCTGACCTTGTGGTTCGCAGCCTGATTCATAACCACTACACTACCAGAGCTCCTTCCCAACACCCTATAAGTAGGTACAATTAATATCAACTCCATTTTATCATGGAAAAACAGAGCCAGAGAGAGATGAGGTAGTCTGACAATTTTAAAGAAGCCATACTTTTATCTACATTATGCAGCAGCATTACAGAAATTTTGGAAATCACCACTGGCCACATTTTGCTGTATAGCCTAAGTGTCCTTTATATGCATAAATAACGCTCTATTTTTTTAAAAAAATAATTGAATCATATTCTATACCTTGATCTGTGTCTTCCTTAAAGACATTTCTAGTATCTGTACATGTTGCTGTTAAATGCCGTTGAGTTGATTTAGACTCATAGTGACCATGCACAGGGTTTCTGAGGTGCAGCTGGTGGGTTTGAACCTCTGACTTTTTGGCTCAGTCAAGTGCTTATCTTCCAAACCAGGAGTCCTGTATCTATACATTGTTGTTGCTGTTAAGTGCCTTGGAGTCCATTTCCACTCACTGCGACCCTGTATAGGGTTTTCAAGGAGCGGTTGGTGAGCTTGAACTACCAACCTTGTGGTTCAAACCGACCTTGCGGTGTAGCGCAATAACCAACAGAGCCACACCAGGACGCTTTTATATGTGTAGCCTTACAGTTACCACCCGGTGCATAATGTGCTTTGCAAGGGAGCTCTGGTAGCGTAGTGGCTACCAATCGGGCTGCGAGCTGCAAGGTCAGCAGTTGGAAACTACCTGCGGTTCCACGGGAGAAAGATGAGGCGGTCTGCTCCTGTAAAGACTTACAGCCTTGGAAACCCTGTGTAGGGTCGCTATGAGTCGGAACCGACTCCACGGCACACAACAACAACAACTACTGAGAGACTCCTGGTGTGGCGCTCTTGAATTTCAAGGTCTTAGGTTCAAGCTCACCAGCTGCTCCTCGGAAACCCTATACAGGGTCGCTATGGGTCGGAACCGACTTGATGGCACTTCACAACAACAACCCTACTGAGAGACTTTTAGGTTGCTTTCAATTTTTTCTATTGAGTTCCACAAGAGGCTGGGGGTCGATAGGTTTCTTAAAAACAAAACTACATGACTAATTGCAGTGGTCACAATTGTAAAGGTAGAAGTTTTGTAACAAAAACAGGGCAGTAGTTAATCCTACAGTCCAGAAACAGAAGACCCTAAGACTGTTGTTGTTGTTGTTAAGTGCCATCGAGTCGGGTCCGACCCATAGCGACCCTAAGACTATCAAGGGAGAAAAGCACAAGCGGAATGCGGGACCCTATCCAGAGAAGGAGCTCTGGTAGCGTAGTGGTTATGAATCGGGCCGCGAACCGCAACCAGCTGCTCCCGTAAAGATTTACAACCTCGGAAACCCTGTATAGGGTCGCTAAGGCTCGTCGGCACTTAACAACAACAATCCAGCGAAGCAGCAACACCAGAGATGGGGAAATGGAGAGGGAGCAGCTGAGGACTCTATGTTCATGGAAAAAAAGGGACTGAGAGCTGGTGGACAGGAGGCAGGCTTGCACATTATTATATATGCCTGAGTGTTTGCGGGGGGGGGGGGAGAGCTAAAATGGATACAGAGAAATACTGTTGTTAACTGATGATACATGGAGGTGATTTTAATCATTGTAATGAAACAAAGTATATGATTGGTTGAATGTAAAACTGAGATCTGCTCTGTAAACTTTCAGTCAATTCACAATAAAAACTTAAACAAACAACCTACATTTCGAACGCAACCAACTACAGCTGCGAAATAAAATGTTTTAACTAAAAGCTACAAGGCTCTGGAGTGAGAGACTGGAACTGTCGCTTCGGCACTTCCGGCTTTCCTACGGTCTAACAAATCGACAGAATTATCCTGGACTACTCAAGCTCGTGGGTCCTACTACGCAAGCGTAGAGAAGGTCGGCAGCGATCGACACTTAAAATCTTGCTCATATACCCGAGCGTACAAACTAAACAAAAATCAAAAAGGCCGGATTTCCTGTCCCACCCTACTTTGGGCCCACCCCTCTGAGCTTTTTATTGGTCAAATAACTTCAGCCCTATTGGTCCGAAGATCAAGAACTGGGTGTGCCCTAGAATATGCCTGCTTCCGAAGCCACGGTAAGAATGCCCTATTGCGAAGTCACTTTCAGGCATTGCTGCGGACATGCCCATGGGGCCTGAAGGAGCTTCGTTCGGCAACGGAAACAGTTGAAAGTTCAACGGCAACTTTAGAAGATGCCACCCAAAGGAAAAAGCGGTGCTGGAAAAGGTGGAAAAGGTAGAGCGACCAGAGGAACGGGGCCTTGTAAGGATCGAGGGGGAGAGAACAAATAGGCAGCCCCTGAGGTCTGGGACAAAGCGGGTTGTGGTCTTACTGAGTTGTCAGTTTATCAGAGCCCCTTCGGACAAATGCGCGAGAAGCTCAGAGTTGTAGGAACTCTTTGGAGTGTGGTGCAGGGGCCATAGTGGTAGGTGGTAGAGATGAGGATGGTTTCTCTTACGCTATTACTTAACGCTGGTGTTTCAGTGATCACTGCTGCTGCTGCATTTTGTCTTGTCAGTTCCAAATCATAGCGGACCTTTTATAGGGTTTCCAAGGCTGTAAATCTTTACAGAAGCAGAAACAATCATCTTTTTCCCGCAGAGAGACTGATGACTTTACAAAGAGTAGCCCAACGTGTAATCCACCAGGGCACCTTTCAAGAGTTTTTAAGTGCTGTCGAGTTGGTTCCGAATCATAGCAGCCCTTTGTAGGGTTTCCAAGAGTGGCTGGTGGATTTGAACTGCCAACCTGTGGTTAGCAGTCCAGTGCTTATCCTACAGCGCTACACCAGGACCCTTAATAACTTCAAGAGTTATTGTTGTTAGTGACGTCAAGTCGGTTCAAGTCATCTTCTGTAGGGTTTCTGGTGAGTTTGAACCACCGACCTTCGGTTCAAGCGACCTTGTGGTCTAATGCACTATCTCACAGCGCCACACCAGGACTTCTCAAGTTATGGAACTTCAAATTTTAATCTTATCAAAAGTCAACAACAAAACCACACTGTGTTCCTCAAAGTTCGCTGTAGTGTTTACAGCATGTTTTCCACATGTAAACATAAATAATTTTCCCTCCTGCCCCACCCCAGCCCCATAACCATCATAGATTGGTTACTTTTTAAAGAAAACCTTGTTTTTAAACTTTTTACAGCGTTGGTCTCATACAATGTTTGTCCTTTTTTGATTGAGTAATTTCATTCAGCATATCCTCCAGATTCAACAGTATTGTGAGGTGTTTCATAGATTCATCATTATTCAACGTTTTGTAGTATTCCATTGTGTGTATGTACCAACGTTTGTTTAACCATTCTTCTGTTGATGGGCATTTAAATTGTCTCCATTTTTTTGATGTCTCTTATATGCAGTATATTGAAGGATCCTGTTTCCTTGCCCATTCTTTTTACATCTCTTGACTGGTACATTTAATCTGTTTACATTCATTTTAATTATCAATAGATATGAATTGATTGCTGTCATTTTAATGTGTGTGTGTTTTTGTGGTACTGCTGGATTCTTGTTCCACATCATTTTCTATGCTGAGTTCGTTTTGTTTGTGGGTTTCCTTGTCATTTGCATTTCCGTTGTGTTAATGTTTACCAAATCTTTCTGATTTTCCTCTTTTTTTTTTTTTGTTTTGAAGTGCAGGTATATTGTTTATCTTAGGGGTTGTTATTGTTACGTGCTGAGTCAGTTCCAACTCATAGCGACCCTGTACAGGGTTTCCGAGGCTGTAAATTTTTACGGGAAAAGAACGTCTCATCTTTCTCCCATAATTTCGAACTGCAGACCCTGAGGTTAGAAACCCAATTCATAACCTCTACACTACCAGAGCTCCTTATCTTTGGGGTTACCCTGTAATTTATTAATTTTTTTCCCTGCTTAAAGCAGTCAGTTTTTTCTTGAAATCTACTTGACTTCCTTGCTATTTGGAAGTTCTTATCTGCACACGTCCCTGTTTTGGCTCTGTAGTTAACTTCATTATACATTGAAGATTCCCTGTTTTCAGTCTTGTAGGTTTGTTTTTGTTTTTGTACATCTATAAGGAGCTCTGGAGTCCTGGTGTGGCTCTGTGGGTTAATGCGCCAGGCTGCAAAGCCGTTTGAACTGCAAGGTCGGCGGTTCAGGCTCACCAGCTGTTCCTTGGAAACCCTATAAGGGTTGTTATGGGTCAGAATTGACCCGACGACACGTAACAACAACAGCATAAGGATCTCTGGTAGTGTAGTGGTTACGCATCGGGCTGCTAACCTCAAGGTCAACGGTTTGAAACTACCAGCTGTTCTGCAGGAGAATGATGAGGCTTTCTGCTCTCATAAAGATTTACAGCCTCAGAAACCCAATACAGGGTCACTATGAGTCAGTACCGACTCCACGACACACGACCACCACCACCATCATATATGAATTGGGAGTCCTGATGTGGTGCTATGGGTTAATGAGCTGGAATGCAAAGCCATTTGAACTGTAAGGTTGGTGGTTCAAGTTCACTAGCTGCTCCTCGGAAACCCTATGGGTCGAACCGACTCAATGGCATGTAGCAACAACAACAATATATGAATTGAGTTCTGGGTGATATTGTCAAGAATGGTAATCTGAGGTTGTTGGCTGATGCTGTTGCCTCTCAGTTCAAAAAATACCTATTAGCATTCATTATTTGTCTAACTCACCTGAATCAAGGCACCAGAGCAGCACACCAAAGCGGTACAGCTGGCCCCCACCTTAAACTGGCATGACTCCTAAGCATGTGCTTCCAAAGGCTGGAGAGCAGGGTCTGTGCTGGGGGTGGATGAGGGTAGGAGCTAGACACACTGGTTACCAGGGGAGCGTGGGGAAAAAGAGGAAGTAGTACCTTTTTCGTTGCCTGTGCGAATCTGCCCTGACTGGCCTCCCTCTGCTACCAAAGTTGCTCACAAGAGAGTGAAACTGTGTTTGGCCAGCTGTTCACCAGTCTCCCTCTCTGACCATGTCTTATCCCAGCAAGCACTCCATCCATCTTTCTAACCTTTCTTCTGAAGTTCAGGGTGCCAGAATTTTCTTCTGTGTGCGCTTTGTTTTGCCTGTCATATCTTTGTCGTAGAGGGTCCATGTAGTGTGTCTAGTCTGCCATCTTGCCAGAAGTCCAACTTACCCGTCTTTTTAACGATCTTTTGCTTTCTCCCTGTATGATCTTTATGTCATTCCACAGCTTTTCTAGCCTTCTACCATTAATGTCCAGTGCATCAAATTTGTTCTTGAGATCTCTGAATTCAGGTGGGATAGGTTCAGAGTCATATTTTGGCTCTTGTGGAGTTGTTTTAGTTTTCTTCAGCTTCAACCGAAACTTGCATATGAGCAGTTAATGTCTTTTCCACAGTCAGCCCCTGGCCTTGTTTTGGTTGATGATAGTGAGTTTTTCCACTGTCTCTTCCCATGGGTGTAGTCAATTTGATTTCTGTGCATTCCATCTGGTGAGGTCTATGTGTATAGTCATCTTTAATGTTGTTTAAAGAAAGTTTTTGCAATGAAAAAGTCTTTGGTCTTGCAAAATTCTATCATGTGATCTCCAGCATCATTTCTATCACCAAAGTCATATTTTCCAAGTACTGATCCTTCCTCTTTGTTTCTAGTCTTTGCATTCCAATCACCAGTAATTGTCAATACATTTTGGTTGCATGTTTGATCAACTTCAGACTAAAGAAGTTGGTAGAATTCTTTAGTTTCATCATCAGTGGCTTTAGTGGTTTTGCATAAATTTAAATTATAGTGGAGAAGACTGAAACATTGTGCCAAATGCATTGTTGTGAGATGTGTGTGTGATGTTGTGGAAACTGAAGACGTGTTTCATCCAGCCTGAGGAACAGGAAAGGGAAGACTCCTAAAGATGAGTTAGGCGGGCCAAGATGGGCAGCTGAAGGTCCAGCAGCAAGAGCATTGAGGTGAGGAATAATATGAAATGTGCAGACAGTGTTTCTGGATTAAGAACTCAAAACTGAATGGCGAATGGTGAGAATGAAGACAAACCAATTTGTGGAGAGTGCTATATATGATGCAAAGAAGGTTGATAGCATGCTGAGAATGGTCAGGGAGACCAAGATTTTTGCAGTAGTCCTAATGAGAGATGATGGTAGCTTAAATTAAGGTGTAGTGGCTGTGGGAATGAAGAGTAGTGAATAGATTCTATAAACAGTTGTGATATGAAATAGGCAGAATGTATTGGATTTATTGGATTGAGAAAAGGAAAGATCAAGGATATTTCTCAGTTTTTAGGACTGGGTTTTTAACTTAATGCTAGTGCTACAAACTGAAATCATGAACTACTTGAGTAGGGATGATTAACTTGGTGAGTTCACGTTCAGATATATTGAGTTTTAAGTGTCTGTGGGACATCTAAGTGGAGACCTTGTAAGGAGGTGTTGTATATTTGAGTCTGAAGTTTGAGAGAGTGATCTAGGCTGCACATGTAAGTTTTAGGAGTCATTAACATGTAGATGGATCCTTGGTTGGGAAGTTTAGGATCATACTTTCATGAGACACCCCAGTTAATTGTCCCAGTAACATGTTTAGTGCTTCTGTTCTACCTCTAAGGTTGTTGCATAGTGACTGCGGACATAAAAGCTTGCAAGCAGTCATCCTAAGGCACAACAATTGGTCTCTCTTTTCCTGGAGCAACCTAGGAAAAAAGAGAGTGGAGAATAAAAGGAGGAAGTGGAATGTGTGGTTAATTGCCTGTATAAACAATTGTCCCTTTCTCCATGAGACTAGAACTGGATAGTGAGTGCTTTGCTACCACTTTGAACATTTTGATCAAAGATCCTTTAGAAGAATCCTGATTATAAGGGGGAATTTGCAGAACAGAATTTCAAATACTCATGGAATCCAGATTTTTTGGAGCCATTGAGACTAGTTGAATCCCAGAAACTATTGCCCTGAAATAATTTAAAAAACTTAAACCAATAATATCCCCTGAAATCTTAAAACCAAGTAACAGTTTAGTTTAACTAATAAGGAATATCTGCCTTGAATATTATGCTCATTTAAGATCTAGTTAATCTTACAGTCCAGAAACAAAGGACCCTAGGACCATCAAGGGAGAAAAGCACAAGCGGAATGCAAGACCTTATCCAGAGAAGCGGCAACACCAGAGATGAAGACAGATGGGGACATGGAGAGAGGGAGCAGCTGAGGACTCTAGATTCATGGGAAGAGAGGGAGTAAGAGCTGGTGGCCAGGAGGCAGACTTGCAGACTGTGCCCTTTGGTG